GTGTAGGTTAGACACATCTACATTTTTCTCAAATTTCACACTGACTGGTGAGCTGTTTTTGTGCTATGGTTCACTAAATAGAAAGAAGCTGTTTGATAATATGACCCTGCTTTGCATGCAGGGGATGACATGTTAACAATATTAGAGATATCATAAAATAATAAAATGCATGTTAATTATACAACAGAGATAACATGTTAATATAAAAAACAGGGAACATGGTAATAACAGAGATAACGTTAATAACAACAACAACATATATAACATGTTAATATTGAAAGATATTTGATTAAATTGATTGATTGATTGATAATACTTTATTGATCCCAAGGGGAAATTACACTTCAGAACACCCGTTCACTAGACAAAACATAAACAAACATGGGCGAAAAGGTGCCCCCAAGTCTTGCAGCCATAGACCCTGCACAGGGCAGGGATCATAATCATGAAAGAATATCATGAGTAGGCGCTAACTTTAACAGCTGGAAATATATAATTGGGAAGCAGAGTTAAAAAATTGCTCTGATCCTATGTTTACATCAGAAACACAGAATCACAAAAACACTTGCGACAGAGCAGACTGGGACGGGGAGGGAACTTGGGTCAGGTAACACATGAGATGGGGGGGGGGTCTCTAATCAGTGGAGCCAGTGACATTGAAGGTATGTCTCCATGATAGAGCCCAACACCAGCACCCACCAGAGTCCAGAGTCAATGATATTATCTCCTTGCTCGGTTCACCAGAGTTCAAAGTTTCCTCCTTCTCGCCCTTGGATTCACAGGCCAGGTTCAACACGGGTGTTGGGGGTGGAAGGGAATCAAGCCCTTGTTGACATATCATCCATGGGGAGTTTAGACAGCATGGTCTTCGAGGCCAAGCAGCTGGGAACCGAATAGATAAACACCATTTTTTTAGACAAAGCAACCTTGATTTTTTCTGTTGCTTTTAATATCTTAACTGCATCTCTGAAATGACGAAAAAAGTTCCAATAAGCCGAATTCGGGGTCCTCCTTGCCTCTCACCGTCTGGAGCTTCACCCAGATATAATCCTACATGCCAGAGGCACGCTCCTGAGCTGCAATTCTCATCAGAATCACTTCCAGTTTGCGATTTACCTCCCCCGACAACTGAGTCTGTGTGCTCCCACTCCGGCAGAGTCCATCCACTGTGCCCGAGAGCTTCACAATGGCCTGGACCGCTGTCAGGATCGCTTTCACTTTTTGATAAATCAGGAATCCGCCTCCTCCAATCAGCAGGAATCCAGTTATCATAGATCCAAATATATACAAATCTTCCACGTCTTCAATGGAAAGTGGTGAGATGGACATCAGATTCCAGCTCTCCCAAGAACCACTGATGCGCCCCGCAGCAACCATTCCACTCGGACAGCTTCATTCCCCTCGATCTAATCTTGATGTGGAAAAAATAGTGTCAATTGCATTCAGAGACCAGTTGACTAAATCCATAATGGTAGGTAGCATGGTAAAAACCAGACCATTGTCCTTCACTTTGCTTCGTACAAGGGTCAGGACTCGCGGCTATAGAGAAGCGATTCTTGCTGGAGGCGTGGCCTCTGCTGAAGTGTGTGTGTGTGTGTGTGTGTGTCGCTGTGAAGGAGGCTAAACTTAGATGCTAACTGGAAATCGTGTGTGGTGTAAACAATCCTACTGAGAGGAGAAAAGTACAGAGCCGAACGAGACAGCTGTAAATGAGAGCTGCTGCTTTGTCAGACAAATTTATTTTAATTTGGAAGCCTTATCAACACGGACTGGCTTCAGTCACTTCCTCCACTGCCATAGCTAAACTAACTAGCAGACACTGCGCAGAAAATTGACGTCATTCAAAACTCCACCTTCTGTTTGCTGATTGGCCCAGGTAAAATAAACTACAAGCAGACACTGCGCAGAAAATTGACGTCGTTCAAAACTCCGCCTTCTGTTTGCTGATTGGCCCAGGTAAAATAAACTACAAGCAGACACTGCGCAGAAAATCGATGTTCTGTTCTCTGATTGGTTTGGCTAAAAATCTGCCAACGAAATCCTTATCTATGGGAGAAATCCCAGACGGAGCAGGGAAGGGAAACTAGAAGTGAGCGGAACTGCACAGGAAGGCAAGGGCCAGGCTAGATGGTAGGTAGAAAAAAGGCTTGAAAGAGCGGCAAAGCAGGGTAGGCGGGGCAGGTTCTGGAGAGAGCAAAATAGCGTCCAGCTCACCTGAAGGCTAAGTCGAAAGGAGCTTCATGCCAGGCAAACAGGTCCTAGGTGAGGGATCAGACAAAGTGCAGCCCAACGACCCCTCATGACAAGTCACAACAATGGACTTAGTGTTCCCTCGCCCAGATGCAGGACTCCACTCTGATACCAGGCCTGGAGGTGGGGCACATTGGCGAGTGCCTGGCGGGCACAGCCTGAAGAGGAGACATGTGTCCTCTTTTCCATGGTCTCACCACCTGTGGAAGGGGCCAGAGGGATCGGGTGCAATGTGTGTTGGACAGTGGTCGAAGACGAGGTCCGTCACGGTCTGATCCTTGGCTACAGAAGCTGGCTCTAGGGACGTGGAATGTCACCCGTCTGGTAGGGAAGGAGCCTGAGCTGGTGTGTGAGGTTGAGAGTTTTTATCTAGATATAGTTGAACTCACTTCCATTCACTGCTCTGGCTCTGGAACCAGTCTTCTTGAGGAGTTGGACACTTTTTCACTCTGGAGTTGCCCTTGCAGAAAGGCACCAAGCTGGAGTGGGAATACTTATTGCCCCCCATCTTGGACCTGGCAGACCCAAAAGTATAGCGAGGGTCTGCTGAGAATGTCTGGCAGGTTCCTGTCAGACTGAGCTTCAACTCCTACTCCAGGAGAGCTATGAACATATTCTAGGTGAGGTTGGGAATATTGAGTCCAAGTGGGACATGTTCCATGCCTCCACTGCTGCGGCGACTTACCGGACCTGTGGCCGTAAGGTTGTTGGTGCCTGTTGTAGCGGCAACCCTTGAACCCACTGGTGGACACTGGTGGTGGGGGATGCTGTCAGGCTGAAGAAGGGGGCCTATCAGGTGTCTTTTGGTTGTGGGACTCCAGAAGCAGCTGCTGGGTACCAGCAGTCTACGCAGATTGCGGCTCGGGTGGTCACTAAGGCAAAAACATGGGTGTGGGAGGAGTTTGGCGAGGCCATAGAAAAATAATTCTGTACGGCTTTGAGGCGATTCTGGTCCACCATGCGGCGTCTCGGGGGGGAAAGCGCTGCTGACCTCAGCCCGAGACATTGTGGGTTGGTGGTCAGAATACTTCGAGGACCTCCTCAATCCCACCAGGATATTTTCCAATGAGGAAGCAGAGCCTAGGGACCCTGAGTTGGGCTCTCCAGTCTCTGGTGCTGAGGTCACTGAGGTGGTTAAAAAGCTCCTCAGTGGCAAGGCACTGGGGATGGATGAGATTCGCCTGGAGTTCCTTAAGGCTGTGGATGTTGTGGGGTTGTGTTGGTTGACGAGACTCTACAATATTGCATGAATATCGGGGGCAGTTCCCCTGGATTGGCAGACTCGGGTGCTGTTCCCCTTATTAAAAAAGGGGGACCACAGAGTGTGTTCCAACTATAGGGGGATCACAGTACAGAGCCCCCCTCGTAAGGTTAATTCCGGCGGCCTTAAAAGTGGGGCCTGTCGGATAGTCAAATCTTAGATTCAGAAAGAGATGTGTGGTTTTCATCCTGGTTGTGGAACACTGGACTAGCTCTACACCATCAGCAGGGTGCTGGAGGGTGCATGGGAGTTCGCCCAACCDGTCTACATGTGTTTTGTGGACTTGGAGAAAGCGTTGGACTGTGTCCCCTGGGGAGTCCTGTGCAACCGCATTAGAGCTTGGTCCGCGTTACCGATAGCAAGTCGAGTTTGTTTCCAGTGAGAGTTGGACTCTGCCCAGGTTGCAATTTGTCACCAATTCTGTTCATAACTTTTATGGACAGAATTTCTAGGTGCAGCCAAGGTGTTGAAGGGATCCTTTTTGGTGATCTTAGGATTGCATCTCTGCTTTTTGCAGATGATGTGATCCTATTCATCAGCTCATGATCTCCAGCACTTTCTGGAGTGGTTAGCAGCTGAGTGTGAAGCGGCCGGGATGAGGACAACTACCTCCAAATCTGAGACAATGGTCTTGAGCTGGAAAAAGGTAGGGTGCCTTCTCCGGGTCAAAAAGGAGGTCCTGCCCCAAGTGGAGGAGTTTAAGTATCTTGGCGTCTTGTTCAAAAATGAGGAAAAAATTGAGCTGGAGATCGATAGGTGGATTGGTGCTGCGTCTGCAGTGATGTGGGTGCTGTACCAATCTGTTATGGTCAATAATTACAGACATGATAACAATAATAAAAATATAGGTAATATTTTAACTGTAACAACAGAGATGACATGAAATTACAAAAGAGATAATGTATTAATAATAATAACAGAGATAGCATGTAATAACAAATGAGACAACATATTAATATCCAGGAGAGCAGATGGAAGGGTTTAGCAAATCTTGTGGGTAAAAATAAAAACTAAAAGTACTTTAATCTTTTGTAGACTGTTTATCCATCATCTATCTATTTTCTGCTCCACCTGTTGTGGACTTGCAGGAGCAACATGTCTAAGACATCTTTATTCCCTGAGCTTCTCTAGATACTCACACTTCTTGACTTGAGGAGGCAAAGAATCATGATCTTATTGTGGTTTATAGCCCCGTGATCCCTGGGGCTCATGGGAGGAGACAGACAAAAAGCTTTGGAGAACCTTGATGAAGGAAGACTGGGAAACAGGTTGCCTAGCCTGGGCCAGGAAAACAAAGGCACCTCATGGAGCCAGGACTTTGGGGTAGCTCACTGGTGAGCACTTGATGACTGACTGAGCCTCAGTTCCAGGGGCCTGCTTATCTGGTAAATGTGTTAAAACTTAACCTTGGTGTGAACCTTTTGTTAAATGCATGAAGTTAATCATGCTCCATTCACCCAAACCTGCATGCTGTAGTGAGGCAGCCTAAAAGCAAACGGTGTTAAGAATCAAGCTGTGTAAATTTTAAACTGGTGTTATAGGTACAGAGACACATTATTTTTTTCCCCTCAGTTTTGGTACCAGGATAAGTGAATTCGTCTTTTTTAATGAAGCTACAGAAATGTAAAAGTTCAGACCTTCCTGCAGAGGTCTTTTGCGTCCACACTGAACTTCTGATTGTAGTCCTCCTCAACTTCTTGGATTCTTCTCTCCAGTTCTGAAGCTTGAGGATGCTCCCCTTTGGCCCTGAATGGAGAATGACCTGCAATCATCTCATAGATCAGGCAGCCCAGGCCCCACCAGTCCGCACTCATTCCGTATTTCTTTTGGCCGATCACTTCAGGGGCTGTAAACAAGATCAAACAAACTTAGTGTTGAGGAGCTGGATGTCTGTTTAGTTAAAACAGTGTCAGAAATAATTTCAGCTAAGCTGTTGTTGTTTCATTGTCTTTTATCTGCATTGACCGCTACAGCTGCTTGGGCTGAGAACCTAACTTCTTCTGACTTTAGAAAGCTGCACAACAAAAAATTCTAAAATACAATTCTGCCTGTGCCTCACTTCTCAGACAGTTGGAATTTACAGTTAGATTTACAAACCATCCTGCATTTCACCTCTTTATTACTATTTATGAGGACTTGAAGACATAAATCTGTGTAATGTCTGCATAATAACAAAATAAAATATGTTTTGTGCAGGAAAACAATGACTGAAAGGAAGCACTTACAACATAAACACAACTGGCCCCAAGATGGATCCTGTCGAAACTCCACATTTTACAGGAATTGTAAATGGAGACTGGTTAAAACAACCCCTAATTAAGGACAGTACCTTAAATCCTAAACAGGTCCTCGAAGGGTCAAAAGCTGCATTCCGGTTCAACAAGTTCAAAATTAGACAGAAATGGGTCATCTGAGTTTTAGTAAAGCAGACCCTGTGCTATGATGGGCCCTAAACCCTGAGTAAATATGTATTATATTTGTTAAAGAATAAATATGTAATCTGACTGCAGACTGACCTTAAAGTGGGATTGTGGATTTTGCATTGCATACGTACCCATGTAAAAAAAAGTGCCGACCCGACCTCGCACAAGTTTCCCCTCAGACAGCCTTACAGCCAAACCCAAGTCAGAGATGCGGATGTGTCCTTCATGAGACAAATATAGAGAAATTCAATTAACTGAGCTCATGTTTCAAATTCTTAGCTGTTATGACGCACATTTTGTTTTCTTCAACCCCTCCACCCCCACTCTGTCTGCTGTACTTCATTCTTAGATCTAACTTTTACAGAACCAGTTCCAAGTAAACAAAAACCTCCAGAGAAGAATAAAGAAATCGGTGTTAGGTAACACCTCACCTGCTTGCCACAAACTTTTCATTTCCTCAAACCGTTCACGTTTGCAAACTTCAAAATGATATATTCAGAACAGTTTCCTTCTGAAGAGCAGGAATGTGAGCGTGAGGAGTGATCGTAATTGGCTACAGGAGTGGTTGTTTGGCAGGACTCCCATTTATCATTTTAATCTAACTGCTTCAAAGCTAAAAATAACCAAGTGGCGGCTGCAGCAATGGCTGGAATGTAATACACACAAACAAATAGACTATTTTAAATTAGTCTGAAAATAAAGTCGTTTTGTTTGTACATACCATTGTCATCCAGGAGAATGTTTTCAGGTTTTAGATCTCTGAAAGATCAGACACATCGTATCAACCTCCACCTCAACCAGCAGCAGATCTTAAAACTAAATACACCTGAGACTTCACTCACCTGTAGACTATTGACTTCTGGTGGAGATGAATCAAACCGCAGCAAACTTCTGCAGCATAGAAACGCACTCTGTTTAAGTCTAACCCGCCCTTTTGCAGCTTGTGTATGTGGAACTTCAGATCTCCACCACTCATCATCGTCAGAACCATACAGAGTGAATGTTTGGTCTCATACGTATACACAAGATTTACCTAGACAAAAAAAAAAAATACAAGTGCAGGACTTGAGACAGGCAGAAAATAAAGCAGAGCAGAAAGTTAGCTTCAAACAAACATTTGTGTGAATATTAAATGAGCTGGAAGAGAGGGGAAACATTTTAAATGCCTGTAACATCAAATATTTGTACGGAGCCCATCCCGTGACATTGGAGAAAAAAAAATTATTCTGTGGTCATGACATTATTATTGCATTGCCACACATTTTTAAGTTGTGGGCACGTGATAATTAACACGTGGCCACGCAATAATTATTGCTGTCAGTTTCATGCAGACTGATTATTTACATGGACAAGTCTGAATTAGCCTAATTAATTTTTATTTCATTAGAATGAATGACATGTCAACACCTAAACATTAGGCATGAAGTAATTCTTAGTTTAATTTGTTGCAGCTATAAGTCACAGGTGACAACTGTAGTCGGAGTTATGCTGCATTCAGGAACATAGAAAAATATCTGTTTCATGACACACAACCTGGGTGTTCACTGTCATTTCATAAATAGCCTACTATGAAAGATGATCCGTTTATGTTGACATACACCAAATAGTAGTAGTAGTAGTAGTAGTAATAGTAGTAGTAGTAGTGGTAGTAGTAGTAGTAGTAGTAGTAGTAGTAGTAGTAGTAGTAGTAGTAGTAGTAATGATAATAATAATAATAGTAATGCATGTGCATATTTAAACAGTTAAAGACAAAGCAATGCAGACTGTAATCTGACTCCAATAATGTCAGTTTCTCACAACAAGGCTGCTCAAAATAAATAACTATATATTTTTATCCCATGTCACTGGACAGACTCCGTAATTTTGTAATAGATGTGAATACATTTTTGGAACGATAACACTGACAACATAATGCAACAGAAATTCCACACCACACTGAGATGAACATTTGTTGTGATGTTTGCATGTGAAGTACCAGGAAGTGATGCCAAAGGGGAATGTCTGCTTGTGAACAGTGCTTCACTACAATGGCAAACAAAACAGATAGAGAAAAATCTCATGTTTCTTTGGATATTTTCACTATTGGAGAGATTAAGAAGAGTCAGAGTTCAAATAACATTGTTTCCGTAAACAAAGACCAGAGAGTTACCTTCGATGTCACTTCCTGTTTCACTTCAGCTGAGCCAAGTTAAAAAGAAAATCTGCCAGTTATGTCAAAAAATGGGTAGAATTATGTGTATTATGTCAAGTTACTTAAATATAAAGATATTTTCTTTAACTTTTTTATTTGAAGGCCATGCATGTCACATGAAGTTTAAAAGTGAAGAACTCCAGTTTAGAAATGAGAAAGCTCATCAGACGGGAGGTGAAACATCAACTGCAGAACAGAAATCCAATTGTTTGGTGTTTTTAAAACCTTTTTTTACACTAATAGCAAGAACATGACTCCAAAAACACCAGCCAGACCCAAGAAAAGACTGTAAAAGGAAGCTGTAACAAGTAAAAACCAGCTTGAAGAGTTTTTTTGTAAGTAATTAAGATTATTATTAAGAGGGTTAAGTTGTCTTCTGTTTAGTTGAAACATGTCCTGTGTATGGAG